TCCTTTCTAGATTTCTGACTCTTCCTGTGTTTTTTCTTTGAACTTTTTTCCATCTGGCCCGCAGCTCTCTGGGGGTGCAGAGGCTTGGACACAGCACTCCAGTGCTGCATGGAGAAAGGATGACCCTGTGTGTCTCCAGACTGTGCTTCTCCCTGGACATCCCACTATGGTGTTTGTCCTCTGGGATTTTGGAGGGGTTTTTTGGTAGCATCATTTCATTGTTCCTGCTCAGTTGGGATCGGTTTTCCTCTTCCGTAGCACCCTCTAGGTTCTCCTGGCTTCCTCTCTATTACCACAGCGGTCATTTCACTAAAATTGATAAAGATGGGTGACGTTAAGCAAGAACTGGCTAGAACTACACCCCCTTCCTTTATTTGGTTTCTGGCTGGCCACCCTTTGTTCGACTTTTTGCCATTTTTGCCATGCTTGAAACAAGGTCTTAAACAGCGGTTTGCTGAATTTCCTGTCTTTCCTAAGACTTGCTCATCCCACATTCCTCCTGACTGAAGAATGTATTATCATGAGCACCCTGGTCCTACTCCAGCGGAGTAGTTATTGTTGGTTTCTCACACGTCCTCCACAATTCCAACAGTGTGTAGTTTTTCATGCCCACTTGGTTGAATTGTGTTACTAAACTGGTAAACAGATTTCTGTGAGAAGTGGCTGCAGTTCAACGGTGGATAAAATAGTCTCTTTATATAAATTTGTTTGTAGACTTCTGGGAAAACCAGCGTAATATAATTGTAAGAATATATTTAATATTAAGGTTGTTGTTAATTGTCCTTTTTTTATTTTGATTTCTTTTTATTATTCTTTTTTGGGTGGGTTTTTTTTTTTTTTGTCCTCTGTTTTGTGACAGTGATTGAAGTTTGCTATTTTCAAAATCCACAGATTGGGATGGGGAGGGTGTTCGGAATATCAGGAACAAATTAGGGGGGTCAGTCTTCCTGGTTTGGTGCTTTGACTTCTTTCAGAAATTTAACCAATTTCAATTTTGCAAGAATTTGCAAGAATATCTGAAGATCATGCTTTCATTTTAGAGGGAAGAGTAAAACCCATGGTGGTGAAGACCACATGGAAATGCAGTACAGTTACGTATTCCTTTTCCATTTATATCAGGGCAGAGACAAAGCAAGTGTGCGCTGATCATTTGTCAATAGGAGACAGTGTTTGTGTTTTCTGCTGTTCAATAAATCTTAACCCTCATTTGTAAAGATTAAAAATAAGTTATATGTACTTTTAAAATCCGCAGTTTCTTGGATTAGGACAGTAAATGTTCTGCTGTGAAGCCTCCCTTAAAAATCGTAACTGTGTGGTTTGTTGGTATATGTATTTTTCTATTTAAGAAAAAAAAAAAAAAATCACCATCTTGAAAAGCAGTATATATGTAAAGAGAAAATTTGTTAACTGATATGGGAAGATCTAACCCTGGGTCACCTGCAAATCTCTCAAACAAGGGCTCCAGGGCAAGTCCTAATTCCAGAGAGTAAAAGCGAAAATTAAAGCTATAGCTAGTGACTCCTCGAAGTTACCCGGGGTGGATTCATTTGAGTTCCGTTGATTGTGCTTGTGAATATATTGTGAAAGGGATGGTAGAGGTCTTCTCAGCCACTTCCCGTCCAGAATATCTCCATGGAGACAGGAATATAACCTGATGGTCTGTCAAAAGTTGCTTTTCATAACCAGAGGCATTCATTAAATAGTAGATGAAGCAGGAGGCAAACTTTTGCATTTTTAACCAACCTAAAAAAAAAAATGCCATTTGGAGAATGCGCTTTATGGAGTAGTTTATCCAGATACCACTGATATTTCATGACCTGAGAAACAGACTGTTAATGTGATAGATTTATTTAGCGTTTGCCCTGCTGCTTCAGATTACAAACGATCACGTGCAGTGAGTATAAACACAGCAAATACAATCCAGGTTCAAAAATACCAAAGAGCTGATCTAATTCTGCCAATTCACACCATTTCGGTTGCGTACGAAAAGCTGACAGATCCTTCTGACCCAGCTGGGTTTTCCAGCGATGAGCAGGTCAGGGGTTTACACACGATCTTCTGGCGTGGCTGGGGGAGCGTGTTGGTGCTGAAAGGCTTAAAGTGACTTTTCGGAGACGAGAATGACGTCTTAATGAGCGCACCAAAGCGTTCCTCCATCCTCTTAAAATGCGGGCGGCGCCTTGTTTGGCCGCCTTTCCAGCAGGGTTTTCAGTTGTGTCACCGCGACCATTTCACTATTTGAAATTCTTCAGGGAAAGTACAGAAACGGGACAGTGACCGTCTCCTTCCCGATCCCCGGGTTTTCTGAGCATCGCACGGCGTAGCGACACGCCACGTGCTCCAGTTTTGGAGCTGCAGCCGCTTTTCACTTGGGTCCCTCGAGGTGAACCTGCCTCCTAAATTTCTCACCTCCCAGCAGTGCACGAAAACCAGACGGTTAAGGGAGGTAGAAAAAGAGCGTGGGTGAACAGGAAGATAAAACATTTTATGTTGAGTACTTTTAAAACTGTTCTTAATGCGCTATAAAACTGGATGCTTCACTTTTTCATGAACTGTGTGCAAAAGGAGAAGCACTGACTGTAAAGTTGTCGTCAGTTAGGTTTGGTTTATAGTTGCAGAGGCTGCCCAATAATGTGATCTTGGAAAAAGTAAACAACATGGTTTTAACAGTGAAAAATATGCCTAATATAAATACAGCTAAGTTCATTGCTGTTCAGAACTTGAAAAATATGACTGTAACATTGCATTTTCTAGTGGAGTTAACAGAGGAGCACAGTGCAGCCTTACAAGCAATATATCTGAGACCGAGAAAATAGGTAATACATCTAACTGGAGAGTCTCTGTGGCATTCGCATAGAGGAAAGCACAGTA